CTCTCTCTCTCTCTCTCTCTCTCTCTCTCTCTCTCTCTCTCTCTCTCTCTCTCTCTCTCTCTCTCTCAAAAATATAGTTTAATTGAATAATAAAATATGTTTTTCTAAATGTGTTATTTGTGTCTATTTTCAGGTCCAATAATCACAATATTAATGCTATTGTCGTCACTAAACAGTTTCGTAAATCCATTTATTTATCTATTTTTCAATCAAAATTTGGTCAAATCATTGCTACACTATTGCTGTCGCATAAAACTGAACGACGAGTTCATCATCAATAAGACAAACGCCTCCGAACTGAACAGCAATTATAATTACGGCGAGAATCGGGCCGACACTCAGTCCTCCACCGAAGACACTACGAATCGGGTGAACAGAAACGGCGACACAATTGCCATGAATTGTCACGACTTCGGCGCCGACAACGACACCAATCAAAAGCAATCCTCAAAATCCAGAGACAAAACGTTTGGTCGTAACAGACGTCTCAATATAAGGCGAAAAACTGATAAAAGCGATAATTTTTGTTGAGTTTATTGTGTAAATGATTGGATCAAGTTTTTTATTTTCTTCATTTCTATCTCATTGTTACTATAATTATATAAAGATATTATCGAAAGAGTTTTTATTAATGTTAATTATTAATTGATTGTAACTTTAAAAACATTTCTGGAAAAATTTATTATGTTATGATTAAATCAATAAATACATAGTTATTTAAACTATTATCAAATTGTTATCATTTATATAACTAATATTTGCATTTTCTAATGTGTAAAAAATTTCCTTAAGTTTTAATCATTTATTTGAGGTATAATTCTATGGAAATAAAGTTCATCTAAAGATAATTAATAAAATATCTGACATTTTAAAAAAGTAATTTAAGCTTAAAATTGATTACAAATCTATAAATAGTGTGCAGACGTGTATACTGTATGTTAAAGTTTTGATCGCATTTGACAATAGGATTATAATTAAAAGGTGAGGAAAATTATGAAAACACGTATTCATGAAAATACAAATGTATTGGTATTTCAATGACGATCACATTTCCACTGATAAACTTAAAAATGAGAAATTTGTAATCTTATTGCAATCACTTTTCCAGGTATTAGTCAACACTGTTTCGCCAGTATATAAGACCCCAAAAACCACAGCAAGGCATTAGTATCATTTGGACAGTTGACCACTCGTTAACACCTTTCCTTCAGTTATACACCTTATGTACCTTTTGTGCGCTTGTATTATACTCTACGCCTATTTTATATTAATGTTATTTGAATACTTACATTGAAATACGAAATCAACCATATTTTAAATGATGTATACCTCTTCCACTCACGTATTGATTGCACTAACAATCTGTGGGCTAATGTATGGCTACGGATCGGCGCCGACGGCCACCACTCCCACAGCGTTGACCACAAAAGCGAAGGACGCCATCGAGAGGACAGAAGTGACGCTCAAACAGGCCATCACTATTGTGGAGAAGCGACGACTGACCGACTGTGTGGCCCGTACTATATGCGAGCTCAGCTGTAATCCCGAAAGTAAGCCTTAAATCACACTTGATTGTTTTGTCTCAATAGTATTAACCCATAAAAACACAATATGTCGCATACCGCTCTTTCCTTTCGGGCAAATGCTCTGCGAGTTCTTCAAACTTAGCCTAAGCAACGGTTTCAACCGGAAAATATTCTGCCGAGCTCTGTCTCCGGTTCGCGACCTCAAATCCAATTGCAAAGAATGCTATACTCTATACTC